ACGTACTGGATTTTGAACTCTGTGTGTGTGAAGTTGACTGTTAAGAAGAAGGGTTGTGTGTATACTGCCGCTGTGGACTGAACTTGGGAGCTCTGGAGTTCTGGACTGTACTGTTGATCATTGATTGCTCTTCTTCCATGTATAAAACATAGCAGGTTGGCCTTATCAGAAAAAAACAAAACAAAAACAAACCAAATCTTTTATCGCATTGCAAAATAGAATTGACTGTTTTTTTTCCCCTTTTCTGTTGCCCTGCTGGTGCTCATTGCTGTGCTGTGTCCCCAGAAGGGGTTGCTGGGACCTCCTCATGCCACAGGGGCTCTCTGCTGTCTGCCTTCCCACCAGGGCAGTTCCCCCTCCTGGCCCCTTGCAGGAGCTTCCCCCACGTGGAGGAAAGGTCTCTATGCTCCATCTGTCACGGGCACGCAGGAACAGCTTTGCTTCATTTCACATGTCGTGTTTATCAGGGCCTGGGACAGTCCCTGAGGTGGCAAGGGCAGCTTTATTGCTTGGTCACTCGGGGCAGGGCTGCCCCTCTCCTTTGGCTTTGGGTTCTTCTCTGGGCACGAACTGTTCTTACCACATCCCCTCCTTCCTGAGCCTGCTTCTGGTACAGCCCCAGCTCTAGGCACACAGCAGGTTCCTCTGAAGCAGAGATGGAGTCTGTGGACACTCTGGATAACTTGTGTACCAGTGGGGGAGGGTGCAGCTGGTGTTACTTCATCCTCTCTGTGCATGGGGTTGTTGCAATAGTAGTGTGGAGATGGGTAGAGGACAAGAATAAACAAGAATAAATCCAAGCTGGCAAGGGAAAAAGTTCAAAACTTCCACAATGAGCCCAGTGGGGCATGAAATAAGAAGCTTCCATGCACAGCAGTGAACTGCCACAAGGAGCCCAGTGGGGCATGAAATAAGAAGCTTCCATGCACAGCAGTGAGCAGGTGGCGCAGTAGTAAGGAAAGTAAATGACTGTGTTAGGCATTTTTGTGGTCAGGCAGAAGCCTTGAGTATCAGGTGTGTTGCTACATTTCATGGAGCATCAGTTGCCCTCTATGTTTTTGTTGCTTGGTCCTTTCTTTATAATGTTCTTTTCCTTCTGGGGTCTTTTAGATTTGGCACATCAGCGAGAATTCGAACTGACCACGTGTTCAGAAAATTTGTTGCACGAGTCTCTTTCCTCTGGGAACACTCCTCTAGTTAAAAAGGTCAGCTGTGGGGTTGAACTCTGCGGAGTTTGGGGTCCTGTGGTCAGAGCTGGGGCGGGCTGTGGAAGTCACCAGAGGGGGGTAAGCTCAGATGGCAGTGTTCTACAGACCTGAGTGACAGGCTGCTCTGTTGAGAGGTGTGAATTAGAAAATGGAAGCTTTCTTCCCCCCCATCTTCAAGTCTATTGCAGTAACCTTAAACTGCAGGGTCCAGTTACCCTGCAAGGTGTGATGCAGCCTCTCTTCAGTGGATCCTCCTAGCTGGCAGAGGGAAGGAAGGAGCTATATACTTGCAAAAGGGCATATAGAATTACTTTCACTTGTGTTGCTCATCCCTTCCCAGAAGTGCCTCAATATCTGTCCTCTAGTGGCCTGTACTTTAACAAAATATCTACCTTAGACCCATTCTGTCTTCACTTTATCCTTAGCATACCCTAAAGCTGAGATGCTAAAACAGCAGAGGGCTGGATCTGTGAAAAAAGTGGGAAATACTTAAGGAACTGCAGTGGGCAGCAAGCTCAATAAGGAGCTGTCAAGGGAAAGTCTTTCAGGCTAAGTTGCAACTTAAACTCAGCTGTGCTTAATTCTAAGCTCTGCTTAGTTGGGCAGTGTGGCTGGGAGCTGGGCAAGGACTTTCTTCAGCTGGCAGTGCAGGAACAAGAGGCTGAGAGCAAAGACAGGATTCCTCTGTTGCCCAAAATCCCAAAGTGCAGATGCAGGGCCCTGTCCTGGCCAGTTGCAGCTCCTGTGTGCTGGGTGGAGCCTGGTGGGTTCCTGCATGCCTTGAGCTGTGGGGCAAGTCAGCACTACAGGAATCCATCCTTGCTGCTTGTGAGGGCTTCATTTTTCACTCTGGCTGTGCTCAGGCAGCTGCAGCTCAAGTGCCAGGTGGAAGCTGCTGTGCTGAGTGCTCTTACACAGAGCAAGTTTTGCTGCCAGAATCCCATTTCCTTCCTTCCTTCCCACATAGCGCTGATCACAGCTAGGCTAAAACTTTGGGACTGGATTTTTAAACTAATCAATGCTTTCTAATGGTCACAAATGAAAAGTTTAATTAGTACTAAACAAGCAAGCTGCTGAAGTTTGGTCTTCTTTCATTTCAATGATTGTAGTAGATAAAATAATCAGAGGTTATAAACCTTCCCTACATTTAATGTCAGTTACAGGGTTATGGCAGTACTGGCAAAGCCCTAGTAAAGTAGATGTTGCTAATCTGGGAGAAAACTAGAAATGCTTCTGGCTCTGCAGTCGCTGGTTCACTAAGCCAGAGCAAGTTCCTGTTTCAGAGTGTGATTACTAGAGTCTTTTGCTGTGAAATGGGGAGGGAGGTGGAGAGGTGCACATGGCTGGCCCAGGTGTGATGCCTACAGGCATCAGAAAGCCCAGGGCTTCAGTAGAACGTCATATTCTGGGCTCTATTTGTGTCTGCTCATGGTGGAGCACACTGGGAGAAAGTGTTCCCCAGTGAAAAACTCCTGGTTAGTATCCTTACTGATGATCTGGATGAGGGGATCGAGTTCAACATTAGCAGATTTGCAGATGACACCAAGTTGGGTGCAAGTGTTTGTCTGCTGGAGGGTAGGAGGGCTCTGGGAGGGACCTGCACAGGCTGGAGCCGTAGGCTGAGTTCAGTGAGATGAGGTTCAACAAAACCAAGTGCCAGGTCCTGCACTTTGGGCACAACCCCTGCAGTGCTACAGGCTGACAGAGTGGCTGGGCAGTGGCCAGGCAGGAAGGGACCTGGGGTTATGACTGACAGCAGCTGAACAGGAGCCAGCAGAGTGCCCTGGTGGCCAGGAAGGCCAATGGCTCCTGGCCTGGATCAGGAATGGTGTGGCCAGCAGGAGCAGGGAGGTCACTCTGCCCCTGTACTGGGCACTGGTGAGGCTGCACCTCGAGTGCTGTGCCCAGTCCTGGGCCCCTCAGCTCAGCAGGGATGTTGAGGGGCTGCAGGGAGTCCAGAGAAGGGCAGCAAGGCTGGTGAGGGGTCTGGAATACAGATCCTACAAGGAGCAGCTGAGGGAGCTGGGAGTGTTCAGCCTGGAGAGGAGGAGGCTCAGGGGAGACCTCGTCACTCCACAGGTACCTGAAAGGAGGGAGTAGCCAGGGGGGGATCAAGCTCTTCTCCAGGGCAACAGCAACAGAACAGGATGACACAGCCTTAAGCTGTGCCAGGGGAGGTTTAGTTTGGACATTGGGAAGAAGTTCTTCACAGAAAGGGTGTTCGGACATTGGAATGTCCACCAGCAGGGAGCTGGTGGAGTCACGTCCCTGGAGGTGATTGAAAAGGCTGGATGTGGCACTCAGTGCCATGGTCTGCCTGAGTGACAAGGTGATGTTTGGTCATGGATTGGACTCAGTCTCAAAGGTCTTTTCCAAACCTGGGTGATTCTGTGAAAGATGGAGGGGTGAGGCACCATATCTGCTCTACCTAATGAGGGCAAAAGCTGTGGCTCGGACTGCTTAATTTTAGCACAAGGAGGGTTGCAAGAACAGTATTACTTTGACTTAATGTATATCCCTTGCTCAAGAGTGCAAACTCTGTATTGCCATAACAAAAAAAAAAAGGAAAGGGGGGGGTTTATAAAATTTAACCTAGCACTACTTGACTCAGGTAGAGCAAGCTCTCAGGCCCAGAGGGAGCAGGGGCTGCAGGGCCAGGTCTAGGCAACAGAATTCAGTTTGTGTCTGATGCAGTGAAGGTACCTGACCAGGACTTGGCTGGGGAGTGAAGCTCAGAAGGGTCAGTGGTGTTAAGGCCAGAGGAACCACAACACATCACTCAGCTCCACCTCCTTAGGTTAAATAACTTTATCACTTTTTTCCTAGTTAGAGCTGACCTTCTCTCAGTCTCTTGGGTAGGCTGACTTGCTTCCTCCAAGCTAGAGGTCTGTGGTCATGCTGTAGAAGTGGGGGAAGTCTTGTTGGCTTCCAGTGGAAGCTGCTTTTGATCTCCCTGCAGTATCTGCAAGGCAGGCAAGGGACACTATTGATGGAGACACAAAAAACTGCAGAGGATGCATCTTACTGCTATACCTTTAGGGGCTTTGTCCTCAGTTTTAACTTGCAGGATAAGCTTTTGTTCAACTGTAAACCTAAAAACCCACTCAGACCAAAAGAATGCCTCTTGATTTGTTAAGCAGCAAAGACTAATGGGACTGACTCTGAAGCTGCAGGTCAGGGGATCTCTTGTGCTAGGCTTCTGCTGGGTGTAAGCAAATAGTGCCAGACTTGCAGGGATTTTGGATTCTGTTCTCCAGAGGCCTGCCTGGGGGAAGAGACCCTGACTGGTCCTCAGGTCACCCATTATCCCAGGAACTCGTCATACTGTTCCTTCCAATGTGCAAGTGCAGCCCTTTTGGGGAAAACTGTCTAAAGCTTCTTGTGCCATTTGGTTAATAAAAGTGTTTCCACCTTGAGAAGAAAGTTCTTTCCAGCTTCATTGTTCAATATTCAGTTCAAGTGAAGGGATATGTACATTCTTTCCCTCTGCTAATGGGACACTGCTGTAAGACCATGCCCCCAGGTTGCACTTTAATAAATGGTACAGTTTTCAAAAACAACGTGTAGACTACTTCTGTGCTTCCACTCTCCCCCCATTCTAGTGCAGGCACCAAAAGAAAAGGTGGTTTTACTTACAGGAAACTTGCTTATGCAAGGCACAGGGACAGGAACAGTGTGTCTCTGCTGCTGGCAGCTGCATCAGAAGCCGTGGTGAATTAGAAGAATGCCATGAGTACTTGCACAAAACATTTTCAGGTGGAGACTGAAAGTCTGCAGAGCTGTAGTAGCCATCTGAATGAAATTTTTATTTAAGTTAAAAAATCCTACAAAATATTTACATTCTTGGAAAAGTCCTGAGGCAGCTGGAAGACAGGTGACACATTTGCCACCTTGTCTGATTGTGTATCAAACAACCTGAGTCCAAGTTTGTTCAGCCTGAGATGTAACTACTTTTTCTTAAGCATATTCAGGTTGCATTCTCAAAAAACTTTCCTTGTGCCTACCTTGCCCTTTTCTTTACATTTTTTTTCTGTCAGTTTTATTTTTCAGGCAAACAGAGGTGTATGGTGGTTGATACTGAAGTATCCTCGTGTCACCCTTCTTTGGGCACACTCCCCTCTATCCCTCAGGGCTCTGTTGCCTCTTGCTGCCAGCTTCTCATCAAGATAAACCTGATTCCCACCCACCCCCACTGATGAACCACCAATGATGAACCCCCACTGATGAACCATCATTCCATAGCCTGAGGCCTTCCTGAAAACAACACTCAGCATGGCTCAGCTTCAGGAGCAGGGCTGGGAAGTGAATAAGTAAAGCAAAATGCTACAGCTGCTTAGAAAAAACACAGAGGACAGGCCCCGGGCCCACTGGGCCTGTGGAGGCACAAGGCAGGCTCTGCACAAAAGCTGCTGCTGCTAAATTAAAAAATAGTGTGAAAAGAGAGAGGCAAACACTACTCCCTACAGGTACTGGCAGAGCTGGCAGGCAGCTCACACTACAATTGCTGCTGTGCTAGTCTACAAAAGCCGATCTATGAAGCTCTGCCATCTCTTTCACAGCTGTATTTCAGAAGTTAAGAATAAATCAAGTCATCTTCATCCAGCAAGGAAAGTCTTCAGCAATTCCCATGCTCTACACAGGCGTGGAGAGCTCACTCACCCAGCTGGAAGGAGAGAAACAGAAGGGGCATTATTAACAGCAGCAGGGTTCTTCTCCAGTGCCAAGCCCTGCGCCGTGCCTGCCCAGGGCAGCTCCAGCGCCGCGAACCTCGTGTCAGCACTGCCACCTGCCGTGCTCCTTCCGTGCCAGCAGCGGGGACAGTGTGGGACAGCAGCACCGGCCCGCCGCACACAGGTGACTTACCCTGGAGCCAAACCGAGCGAAGGGAAGGGCGGAGCTGAGGGACACACAGTGACACCGTGCCCAGGCTGCTGGGTGAGGCGAGGTGACAGCGTGAGCCAGGCCCAGCTGCAGGTTGCTGCCAACACTGTCCCTGGCAAGGCTGCAGTGCAGGAGTGTCCCACAGGCCTGCAGCACAGCACAACTGTGTCACCTGTGCTTCACACGGGGGCAGGAGCACAGCCCACCCCCTCAAATCTCATTCCCAAGGAGCACTGAGTCTCAACAGTGAGTTTGTCCTCTCCCATCCCCAGACTCCTTCATTACTGGAGCTGGGGCCCCTAGCCTGGCTTGCCTGTGAGCTGCACAGCCTCCCCACCTCTGCTCAAGTGCCAGCAGAGAACAAGAACAGATTTGACCATTTCTCATGGCTAGTGTTAATTCTCAAGAGCAATTCCTTTCCCCTTCCAGCTCTCCCAAGCTCTGGGGAGCTGAGGAAGGAAGACAAGAGCAGAGAGCTCAGGGTCAAGACACTGGGGAAATGCAGCCAGGAGAGCTCAGGTCAGGCTTTCCTTCCCTGAGAGAATGAAAGAATCATTAACCAGAATGTTATTGGTATAACTCCCTGAGGAGATTGCAGGAGGAGAGGGGCAGTCACAGCTCTCTGCCAGACAGAACAAATGCACTCTGTTCACTGGCTGCTCTGAGAGGGGGGCAAGCAGATGTGACATGACCCCCTCATTCCAGAGCTCTGCAGGGACTGACACTGCCTTCTGGCCCAGCCTCCAGAGCACTACAGGAAAACCAGCAGGCCACAGGCAGTTCAGAGCTAGGCCATCCCTCAGGGAATAACCCAGGACAGCTGAAAGGCTGGCTGTGACTCCAGCAGAGCTGTTTGACAGCACTCACCATTTCAACAATGTAGTTGTGGAACTGCTGGTTCATGTAGTTCCGAGTGGTGTTGAAGACACGGCGTAGAAGGGAGGGCACTGTATTCACAATTTTCTTAGTCAAGACCATTGCTAGCACCAACATGGCCTTCTCCTGTTCCATGTCTGCGGGGATGGCTCGGATAAGCTCTCTCACTACCCTGGACATGTGCCGGGTTATGTCCTGTGTGGAAGGAAGAGGGATCTCAGTGCAACAACTGTGGCAGCAGGGGGTCTCAGCACAGCCTGCCAGGACTGTGCTAATAACTCGGGTGCTTGTTGCAACATGCTGCTCCCCTTCCTCCCAGCCATGGCAGCCAGCCTGTTACATAAAAAAACACCCCCAAAAAAACTGTGGCACTTGATTCAGATGTAGATCTAATCCTTGGATAGCCTTCCTTTTCCTTTTGAACACAAGAGACCTCACACTCCACTTTCCTTGCACAGCAGCAAGGCATGTTAGATGCTGGGCCAACTGCATCTAGGAAGAGGCCACCTCAGCAGGTCACACAGCCAGGCCTAAATGCACTGCTACTCCCAACACTGTGCCTGTGAACACACTCACAGCATCAGAAAAGGGTCTCACGACTTGCTGTCTCTTCAGTGCTCAGTAACCAGCACAAGTTAAGCTCCTGTCACTAACCTGCTCAAATTTTGCCCATATGATGGTCAGCACATAGAGAGGACTCGGCACCAAAGTGCAAAGATCTTAAATACTAAAACTAAGCCTTAGCCAGATCATTCACTTTCCAAGACAAGCCATGGGGCCACCAAAAGAAGGACAAAATGCCTCAAAGTCAGTCTTTTTCCACAACCACCGTTTCACCATCTGCAGAAAGGACATGGGCCCAAGGAACCCAATTTACACGTTAACTTCTGCCACCTCTAACAAATCTTCAAAGGCAAATGTTTGGGATTAATTTTCAGATGCCTTCAAAGTCACAGCAGGAAGGATGCAGAATATTTAAAAGGAGAACTGCACATCAGGCTGCTTTTCACTCACCTCCTCAGACAGATTCTCATTCATAAAGTGCTGCACTAGGCCATTTACCACTCTTTCTTGGATTTCTTTATCAAACTGGTCTCCAATCTCAGCGAGCTGAGCAGCAATGATCCGGATAACCTCTTCATTTGTTGGAGCCAACCCTGCCAACACAAAGAGCAGAATTTAGTTCACAGGCTGTAGTCAGGCCAGGTTCAGTACAGGTCACAGCATTTTGCTAATCTCCATTAGCACCCTCCTTCCCAGCTCTGAGTGTATCCATGGCAGCTCTAAGCATGATTTCTTTAGGTGCACCCAGGTTGCTTACCAGAAAGAGTGGCAAACAGGGGTTTGTATCTTTAGGTTAGGTAAACTGCAGCCACACCCTGCCCAAAGAAAAAAATCACTGCAGGGCATCTTAGAACATCTCCAACCAAAATTTGAAGAGGACAGTTACTGCCAACATCCTGCCCACAGAGGGGAACTGAGAAGTTGTGCAAAACATTGAAGGTCTTTTTCAACCTAATGATTCTAGACGTTAAGTGACTTGTCAGGACTTGTCTCTTAAGCACCACCTAAAATACAGCACCTCATAGAATAGTTGGAGTTGGAAGGGACCTTGAAAGGCCATCTCATCCAAGCCCCTTGCAATAAGCAGTTGACATCTTCAACTACATTAGACTGCTCAAAGCCCCAGCAGAACTGACCTTGAATGTTTCCAGGGGTGGGGCATCCATCACCTCTTTGGGCAACCTGTGCCAGTGTTTCACCACCCTCATTTTAAAAATCTCCCTTACATCTAGTCTGAATCTGTCCTTTTCCAGCTGAGAACCTTACACCTTGTTTTACCTGCTTTTGGCATGAGACCTATGCAAATTTGTGTGAGAGAGGGCTATTTACTGTGGCAGTTCCTCCTCACCCTGCTTCAGTTGAGGTCAATGTGCCAGCTGACACACCCTGGGCAAGGGGCAGTATGCAGATGGCTAGCAAAGCAGGAACAGGACCAGAAGCTACTTGAGGAGCAGTTTTCACCAGACTGGTGGGGCAGAAAGGGATTCACCCAGTACCAGAACTCGAGTTGTTCCAAGATCCTAGCCCAAGTATTGATACTGCCTGAGGAGCAGCATGAGTATCACACTCCTTGAGGGCACCTATCACCAGTACCAGCTTTGTGCCTGTGTCTGATGTGCTGCAGACAAAACCCAGTGACAGGTGCTCTAGAAATCCATGGAGAAAGTACTAAGCACCAGTTGTCTTAACCTAAGTGTTAAATTCCCAACCAACACCACCAACAGCCACACAGTGAAGTTTCTCAATAGAAAAAACATTACTCCTCTGAAACAGACAATAAATACAAACAAAGACAAGAAATGGGGAAAGAAAACCATGTTCAGAGAGACATGTGGGATGGAGAAAAGCTTGCTCACCTAGCTCACCATTCCGGAAGTGGCCGCTCCGATTGCCATCGGTCTGAAGCTCGTCGTCATCGTTTCCTTGGTACAACATGATCTGCTGGCTTTGCAGGGAATGCAGCTGGTCTTTGAACTTACAGTCAGAGGATACGTCCAGGAAGGCAAACAGCAATGCGTGCTCCATCTGAAGAGGTCCATTAATCTGAAACACAAGGAGATCACTGTTAAGCCCATGCCTAGAAAATGTCCCACTCAGAGCATCTGGGCATGCACCGTTTTCCAACCCTGAACACGTCCCTGTGGCCTCCTCTGGGCGCCCTGAACAGCATCAGCCAGGGGATCCACAAGGCCTCAGCAAATGCAGACTGACTCCTGGATGTGGACCCACACAGGGCTGTCCCATGGGCAATGACAGAAGGCTCTGCTCTTACAAACTGGTGTTGAAAAGCCAGCTCACCTTCTCCTCACCTTCCCAGCTGTGGCAACGGCAGCAACCCCAATCCGAGTTCCTCTTTTGAACCAGGTGTGAGTTCAGCAAAACCACCCATTTCCCTTACTCAGACACCTGTGTTTGGAAGGGTTTTACCCCTGTATTTGGGAACTGGGCATTCTACTTGCTGTGCATGAAGAAGGCAGGAGCACCCCACTTCCATGTAATCAGAGCAGAGCAGTAACAAGGTGGGAAATAGAGATAAGAGCAGAAGGCTGCAAAAACCCCCAAGGTTCACATTTCTTCTCCCTCTTCAAAGGAACCTCAACCAGCTCCATAATAAACCTGTTTAGCTCCTCACAGAGACCCAAGAGGCTGCTCACAAGAGAAGTGACATGAGATGGCAGCTCAGTGGCACGTTCACCCCCAGTAAATGGGCACGTGCTGTCCCCATGGCCACACAACCTGCAGCCTTCAAGCAAGGCAGCACAGAGTGCCCAAATTAATTAGGTTGAGGAGGTCCATGAGGCAGGCAGACTGATGGGAGCAAGAGGCCACACTGGAACACCAGGCCTCATAACCAACTAAGGCCTCCAGAAAACCAGGAGAGTCTCCAAAAATTTAAGTTAAACAGGTAAGAGAGTAGGATGTGGTATAAGCACAGAAATAAAGTAAGAAAGAAAATCCTGACTCTGGTCTGCCTGTAAGAAAATACTTAAGGCCTAATTTTATTTGGGGAGAAGAAAAATAGTTAAAGAAAAATGGTTTGTTATGCTGACAATGTGCAACCATTAACTGAAAGGGAGTTTTGGGGAGTGGAACCTTGCAAAGCCTCAACATAACCATATCTGACTGGGCAGACAAAAGGAGGAACAAAGTCAACAAAAGACAGGGTTCAGAAATGGAAACAAATGGAAAATAAAGGATATGATCAGTCAGAGATGAACAGAAGGCCCACCTCCCATGATCTGAGCATGCATGTTTACAGACAGTAGTGCAGCTCACTGGGGCACCAGGGGCAATCCCCTTCAACAGCCTCCTCAACTGGTCATTGGTTTATCACTGATACTTTTTTAAATCATATTGTGTTCAAAAGGCTTGTGGGAGGGCAGAGTAGGGGGTTAGAATTGTATCCTAACATCAGCTGGGCTGAGGGAGGATGACAGACATTTCAGTTACAGATCAATGTGTAAGATTGAAGTGTGCTAAGTAACAGCATCATAATTGTGTTTAACATCACAAAAAACAGTGCAATGCATGGGTCACAGGGCTGTGCCCATTCCTTTATTAGTTTTAGCAGTTTGTAGCTTTGTCAACAAACATGTAGTCTCTTACATAGCTACATCTCCAGCTCGTAGTCCCCAGGGGAAGTGCCACACTGAGAGCTGCAAGGAAGCAGCCTGCAACCTAACTGCTTCCATCCCCTTCCTTGTATTCAGAGCAGTGCCAGAACACTGCAGAAATTCTGGGAAATTCAAGAAGGACACCAGCCAACACTGAGACTTATCCCCTTCAAAGTATCTCAGGACAAGTGCACCAGAGAATCCCTGCATTGTGAACAGCTGGCTTCAGACATGTTTGACTCTAACCTGTTCCATAATGGATTCAGGGACAGAGCAGCTCACGTCACCCTCTGCTTCACACCAGAAATCCTCGTCCTGTGAAAGAGTAAGAAAGAAAAGTGTGAAAGGAAAAAATTCCCAAAAATCCACATCTTGCAGCTGTACTTATGTGTCTGGCCATGTCTCATAGTAAATGTCCCTCTTAGTGATGCATATCCCTATTTTTGGAGAGCTGCCCATCACACACCATCAGTCATGAAAAAGGGCTGAGGAAACTACAACTGACTCAGTGAGAGGGGCCCTGTGAATGACAGGCACAAATCTCCTTCCTGCCACAGACATGTGCCAGACAGTGGAGTCACACAACCTACAAACAGGGCTTTAAAGCCAAGAGCTGCTGTTGGGTGAGGGTGGAACAACCCTCCATGGAGCCAGAGGCTGGAATGAAGAGCAGGGTGATCAGAGAGGAGCTCCTGAGCACCTGAGAGCAGATGAGCTGACAGGTCTGCATGCACAGCAGAATATTCTGAAATGAAAAACCCAGCTGACTTTGCTACACATCCACAGGGCCTTGAGGGTGCCTTTCCTCACCCTCCATGCAAGAGATCCATGTGGATACTCAGGCTCATTTCAGTATAGTCTGACAGCAAATACCATAATGGAGGTTGGATCAAGTGCCAACAAAGGCTTCCAGTCACAGGAGAGCAACTCTGCTAAGCCTCCAGGGAGGCCAGCTAGGAAGAAGGGAGAAAGCAGGACACAGCCCAAGGGAAGAGGCACCCAGCAAGGGAGAGCACAGGCACAGGGGAGCCTCCCTCTCTCCCTCACAAAGGGGACACGTAGGAGCACAGTGCTCCCTCCTCATCCTGCCAGGAGCAGCTGATGGCTGGGGCAGAACCTTGCATTTGGTGCCTTAAACACAACAATCCCACAGCTGCACACACAAGCCTCTGGTTCAGCTCTTGATGAGCAGGGCCTGGCTGAAAGTGGGCACTCCCTCCCTACCAAGCCTTCTTCACCCAGGGCAACAACCTGGTTGTTATGCAGGCACCTTCTAAACCAAAAATGGGCTGGGAGCACTAAGGAACCCAAACAAAAGGCCTGCTAGCCATCAAAGACTGGGCTAGTGATAAATGACTATTTCACAGTAACAATCCCTCAAATCTGTGCTTTAAATAACTAAGCATGCTGGTAGAAAAGAGGGAAGTGAAAACAGAAAGAAATTCAAACTCTGAAGCAAACCACAGTCATATTTCAAGAGACCATGAATCTCCCAACTTTTCAAAGGCTCTTAGAAGTCCAAGACCAAAACACAATCTGCAATGTGCCTGAAACACAAGCAGCCCACAGGAAGCCTCTTAACCATGAGCTTCTTTTCATGGAATTGTGTCAGTCAAGACCAAAACACAATCTGCAATATGCCTGAAACACAAGCAGCCCACAAGCTTAAGGAAGCCTCTTAACCATGAGCTTCTTTTCATGGAATTGTGTCAGACTAACAGCTACAACACAGGGTTATCCCTTGCTGCTTTGCATTTTCCTCTGTTCCATCCAGATCCTTATTGCTGCTACTCACCTGTACCCTAAGGAATGTTCTGGCTGGGGAGAGTCCTCTGTCCTGTTTTTTGGGACCTGAAGGGGCTCTGAAACAGGTCAGGGTGACTCTTCTTCAGGGCTTGACTTTGCTGGAAGAGACACAGATGTTAATTCAGGTTTGAGAACTCGAAACAGAACACAGAGATTAAATGGAAAGTAGGGATTTAGAATTAAGTCTGTGGCAGGACTTTTGGCTTTGTGCAAACTCCTCAGAAGTTGTCCACACAAGCAATATTTCTATAGGTTAGGTAAAGCCTCAGTTTGCACATATTCTCGTTTTAGAGATAACATTTCTTTTCAATGCAATTTTCCCACTCCCTGCTTTAAATGAAGAGGCACAGACTGCTCCAGCCCAGCCAGGTGTCTGCTGCACCTGCAGATGTCAGTGGCTGTGCAGAGAGAAGAGACCTACAACACATGTGGGTTCTTCCCTTCCCTCAGGGATCAAATCAGTTCTGTGCAGATACAGACACTCCTCTCCAAGTCCACAAAAATAGGGACATTAAAAAAAGTCACCCACCATAGCTGCAAATAGCAATTTTGTCTACTCCTGCACATGAGTACAGATAAAACAAACACACAAACAGAACAATGAAAAGTTCCACTACACTCCAAAGTACGAATATGGCAAAAAATGAAGACAAGGGAGGCTGAACACAACTTCACAAACTGAATTTCCCAAACCAAAGACTGACCACCCATGCAGTGAATGACCCTAAAGGCAATACCTGCCCTCAGCTAAGATAGTTCTGCTTGGGTGGTCAAAAACACACCAGAGAAGAGGGAAAAGGATTTCTCTCCACCCCAAAATGGCTTCCTACTTCTACAATACAGGGCAAATTATTTTTTATTTTAGTTAACTAGTAATTACAGGAACCTCAAGTTTTACATATCTACTTGGAATCAATGCAAAGGGCTTTGATAGTCATGAAGTTCCTGCTGAGAAGTCAAATTCCTTAATGGAATCTCAAAAAAAAACAAAAAAAAAAAACCAAAAAAAACCCCAAAAAAAAACAAAACCAAAAAACCAACCAAAAAGCAACCCACCTCAAAAAAAGTCAAATGTAATCATGCTGATATCACCCAAATTTTTTAATCATTAAGACTTTGGAATCCTGGTAGCTTTAGATTCAGATAGAGAGTGTTTCTGGTGGAAGGAGAAAGGTTACCTTATACTGGGTAAAAAGAATCTTTAGTTGGAGAAGGAGAAAATACTGATAAAGGATACAAACACCATCTGCACTCAGATTCAGAGTCAAAGCAGCTAAGGCTGCTTTAAGACTGCTGAAATCTTGGAAAGAATTTTTACAGAATATGATATTTTAATTGAAACATCAAATAATTTTAACACATTGTTCATTTTTTACTTCAATTCACTTATTAGACAAATGAACTTTGTGAGAAGCTCATATTTCTTTGTGAGAAAGGAGCTGCTTCTGAGAAATCACTAAATGCCTTGAAGTGTTCAACACATAAGATTACAACCAGTTTTTTAGACTACAACCTGTTCTTTCTTTCTTAGGAAAAAAAAAAAAAAGGGGGTACTTTAACCACAAGTTTAAGACCCTTAAATCTCAGTTCTACAGAATCAATGTAGGGCATGTTCATTCCAGCACTGCATGGGATGCAGGACTGTGGGAGAGGCATATGGCAAGAAAACAATTACAGTTGGAGAAGCACATCCACCAGCAGCCTGTCAGTGCAGGAGGAAAGACCTCATTCCACCCCCACACAGCAGTTTTCACAGTGAATTCTGGGATTTTTCACAAGTGAACTCCTCCAAGGCAGTCACAGCTCTTTAGATGGGGCTGAGCACATCCTGAGGGATGGGACTTACTGCTCTCCAACAACACAGCTCCTTCAGGTCTCCTTCATGTGTCCCATCTTCTGTTTCTCCCTCTCATCCCCAAGTTACACTATCCTTTAAACCTCACAAGAAACTCACCAGAGGAGCTTTTCCCATCTGCAGTCCACCAGTGAGGGGTGGCATCACTAGAGGCAAGGGCAGGGCCAGAATCCCGTGACTCCAGGGGAAGGAGAGATGGCACTGCAAGTTTGCAGGGTGGAAAAGAGGGAGAAGCAGGGACTGTAAGACAATTGGCACTCCATGCCTCTCTCCCACATCAAGCAGTGAGGGGTAATCCAAAGGAAAAGCCTCACACACTGCATAACACCATGGTCACCTGCTGGGGGAACTCCCCACAGATCTCAGGGCTGCCATAGCAGCAGCAGGTCCCAGAATCTCTGCAGCAGTGCTAAGTCACTCTACAAATCAGTTTTCATCTCCACACTTGTGCTACATCTTCAAGACAGCTCAGAAAAGAAGCCACCCCACCAACAGTACCTCTGCCTACCATCACTTCCCCTCAGATTCTTCACCTCTCCTCACAGCTCAGCCTGGAGTTACTATTTCAGCTCCAGCAGATACTGTCTGCTCAGGAAAACACTGCTTTCAGCAGGGGAGGCACAGGCCTGTACAGACTGACTCCTTTAATACTGTGTCTGGATTATGGGTCAATGCACCTATTGTGTGAGCTGTCAAGATGTTTATGTCTCACGTTTGAGTTAGAATTAAAATCTCCAAAGCAGAAACCACAATGAAACATCAGTCACTGTGAAGTCAAAACTTTCCAATGTGAGCATTCCTTTCCTTTGGCAGCTGAAAGGTAAGAACTTTGGGTGTGGCAGACAGGATAACATCATTACTGGAAGAAGTAGAACAGTGACTATTTCTCCCTCCCAGGGCCTGGTGGCACTTACTGTCCTGTAGGCAGATATTTCACTGCTGAGCTACAGAGCAAGGGCAGGGAAAATAAGTATTTGGTATGTCCTGACATTTTAAATCCATATATCAAACCATAACCACTCAATTTTACTGCCCTTGTGAGAACTTGCCACAGGCACAACTACTTTACATATCCAGTCACTACTGGAAAATAAAGAAAGAGGAACAGCATCACAGACTTAGGCAGTTCCTTCCTTGAGAATATTCCGAGCTGCGCCACTGTTGTCTGCAGCACTTCAGGTCAGGAGAGTGTAAGCAAATACCACATCACAGAGCCCAAAGTCACCAAAAGCAGTGCTCCACTTCTAGCCCATAAACCCAACAGGAACTAAACAGCCCAGGGAAGGTGTCTTATTGGTGTGCCAAACCAACAGTGCTGAGTAAATAGGATGTTGTTATTACCACAGCAAACCTGTCCCCATTGCTCCTTACTCTGCAAAGGATTTGCCAGCCTGTACCAGCCTTTAGAACACCCCAAGATTTTGCCTCATTTGAGGCTCACCCCTAATGCAGAATTTGTTTCTAGGCTCTGGAAAGAGAAGCAGCATGGTGGGAGAACAGAGATACTGCAATATCTAAGCCAGGTGAAGGATGGGCTCAACAAGAGCCTCTGGGCCTGTATGGACACACACACACGGAGCTGTGAAACTCAAGGATGGTTTGGTACACCTGGTACAGCTATTGGCTTGGAGAGTGTCAGGACTTCCCCCACCACAGGGAACACTGCTTCCAAACTAAGGGTATTTTCCACCCGTTTGACTCTGAGGGAGGACACAACATCAAGAGCTTGTTTTGGAAGTGGCAAAACTGACAAGCTGTGAGGAGCATTCTTGGACATACCAGCAGCTCAGTGGCCAGAGCAGGACACACCTCCTCCCCAAGTCACTTGCACTTTATTTGCTTGGCTCTTGGGAGAAATGTCCTGTTAGTCAGGAATCATGAGACTAAAAATCCAACCAGCACAACCTCTGCCTGATACTCCTAAGCAGGATGGCCGACTGCTTGAGATTTTAAGCTTTTGTTTCTCTTCCTTTCAGCTTCAAATTGCCTCCCTCTTTAGGATGTAAGTAATGCACTACCAATCTCTCCAGCAAGGGAAAACAAAACCCAGCACGAATACAATGGTGTTTTTTTCTCATTTATTCCTCATATCCTTGATGTAAAACATGCCAAATACTTACTACTGCCTTAGCTGAGGCATTTTTACTTTTGCTTCTTAATGCTGCTTTAGTACAGAATTATCATCTCAGCCTGGACACCAAGCACTCTCAGCTGTGTATTTTGGCTTAGAAATACATTGCACTCTTTGTTTAAAGGGGGCTTATCTTCCTCTTTGGAAGAAAAACTTTATTAGAGACAATTCTAAAAAGAAGCCGTCAGTAGGCCTTTTTGATAGAAATTTATTTAAGTTTCTGAAGGTCTTTTGTCTTTTCACAATGACATGAATTGCAGCAATCTTCCAGTTATCAGGGCAGTACTTTGACTTCTTAGGAAGAAAAACACCCAAATCCCTCATCAACCACCCTTCCCATTTGTCTCAAAAAGCTCTGGTGAGCAGCCCCCACACAGCACATGAATGAGTAAGAAGGAGCACTGCCATATTACTAATGCTCTTTAAAAACCAGGTAGGCAGGAACTTTTCATCAGTGTGGTTTCTGCATTGGATCAGTGACAGAGGCAGCATGACAACATTTTATTCTTCAGCAGCCAGCCTACAGACACAACTGAGCTTAAACTGAGTCAGCAGGAAGCCTGCAGCTGGAATTAGAATTCAGCTAACTACAGCTGGACCCAAACAGAATTTCCACATCTCCATGTTTTGGGCACAGCCACGCCTAAGAGGCAAGGGCAGGACTTGGATTTTGGCTATCAGAGTGCAGACAGTTTCTTGGATCTGGCACCGGGCTGAGTTTTTCCCCTCTGCTGTTGAGCAAAGGAACTCCAGCCCAGTAAGCTCCTCCTGCACTTCACCTCCTCGGTAAGGTTAGGGAAATGCTTGTCTTTCCTCGGGACCTGGCTGAGGGACTGAGCAAACCCCGATGAAAAAGCACCATCACACAAGACTGCTGCTCCTTACAGGGCTAGCTTCCTGTACAAAATCTAACTATTGCAGCCCAGAGCTGCAACAGACCCCTGCTATAATGGCACAGTGCACACGCAAGCACTTCTTCTGTTTGCCTCTTGGAAATGACAGAACAGCAGGAAGCACTGAGGAATCACAGTTCCAGTGTTTTGACATTATCAAGGATGGACAGACAGACTGAGAGCAGGCAGTACTGGGACAAACTCCAGCCGTCACTGGTG